CACAATGCTTAGGGTGCTGGGGGGAGGGGGGCTTTTCTCTGGAGCATGTTCAAATCAAATCTTTAAGAACTGCATTCCAGACTTCTGTTGGGTCACAAATGCTGGCTTGTGTATAAATTTGCTTTGTTTATCTATTTTCCCTTTTGTTAACATGTAAATATAAGTATGTATGTATATATGTAACAATACAATGGATATTTTAATACTAAGTAATCAGCTTAAGATCGAAACCTTTATTATACAACAAATACTTTGATTGCAATTTGCAGTGGTTCCTTTTTCAATGTTATACTCAATAATGTTATGCTTGTAATATTGACATCCAAAATTGTAATTAATATTGATAGAATAATTTTTTTCTCCATTTTCAACACTCTAACTTACCTAAATAATAGAATGTCAATAATCTTCCATTAATGTTGTATAAACATCACTGTGTTGAAACAATACACTGTAGCAAGATTGATAACATAATAAAAAGGAAAAAAACCCCAAGAGCAGCTATATAAAAAAAATGCTGCCTTGCATTTTGAGGTGGTGTAGGGAAAGTGGACATTAATATACAGATGTTGATATTCAGTTACTGAGATGACCATATTTCCCTTTGGGTCCAGCCCCTCTAACATTGGAGGAAGGATTCCAATCTATATGAAAGCAGTCCCAGATGGTGAAATTAGCATCCTTAAGATTTTCTCCTTCTTCCTAACCTCCATTGGATATAAACAGGCCAGCTCTGCTCAGAAGACTGATTTAAGGAGGCCAGCAAATCTCTCTTTTAGCATAACCTGTGCTGTATCTTACACAAGTAGAAGTCCCAAAACAGAGAAGGGCTTTTAGGATAATATGCTGTAATGCCATTCTTCAGCTGTTTGAGAGAGAGGATCTAGAGCAGTGTTTCTCAACCTTAGCAAATTTAAGATGTGTGGCCTTCAACTCCCAGAATTCCCCAGCCAGCATTCATAGTTGCTAGTTGATTTTATTGTTGAATTATTGCTATCTGCACTAGGTAAATGTGGATTAACTATAGTGTTTATAAATGTGTAAAACAAATAAAAATAACACAATTCTAGAAATGGGTAGCTGGAACTCTATGACTGATCAGCTGTATAACTGATATATAGAATCAATTTTTTAAAAAAAATCCCACTGTAACCGGCCTTTTCTTCTTTCTCTGATCCCACCAATAAGCATTCTATTCAAATGCTTTCACATTTGGACTCTGGCCCTGTAATTTGGAAAAAAACAGTTGCAATTTTTTTACATAAATAAATCCTATTCAATCGAGTGGGACGTTGCCAACTCGACAAACAGAGAACTATGTATAAGAAACTTGATAAAGATTTAATGTTGGACAACGATCAATACACATAGGCTTGGGTACTTTAAAATTCTAACCTGGGAACCATAGCACAAGGCCCCGGTCGAGGGTTTCAGAAGAGCTGGGATCACAGATCCTACGTAAAGTAGCAGTTCTTGGAGGCGGTGGTTCCTTTGTCCCTGTTAGGGAGAGCAAGGCTGAACAGCTAGCTGGCCCACTGGTTCGAATCACAGCCACTCCACATTTTCCTTGGCCTGAAGACAACGCAAAGATGGTGTCCCTCTTTGCAGCCTGGCAATGTAACCTGACAAACAGAGAGGAAGATATCAGGGTATCCCAGCCTGATTGGATGCGGGCACTAAGGCCTGAAGGACCAGGTTGGGGACAGATTGTCATGGAGAAAATCGATCTATGTGGTTGCTAAGAGTTGACACCAGCTTGATGGCACTCAATTTAACAGGTGCCTTTTGGGAAGTTTGTACAGACTGTACCACTGTCCACTAAATTGGATGTGCTGATGAGACAGAAGCAATAATCAAGCAAAAACTCACGTTTGGTGTTCATGCAGATAGACTCAACACTGCTTATAGCAAACAGAATTTAAAACCAACTACTTGTATAAATAATGTGACCCAACAGAACAAAGCAGCCAAAAGCTGCCTTTTCTATTTCTTTCCAGAATAAGAAATGGAAGCTAACACTTACTTTGCAATTCCAGAGTTCAACCAACTCTTGACTTTTTTTCATAGGCCTACAGTCGCCCTGACCCCGTGCATCACCCCACACAAAACATCCACATTTTTGATTACACATTTCTGCCTTGGGGCAGCTCATAAACACAGAAATGTGGTAGTACTGTTTTTCTGTTGGATTTTTCTCCATTGGAAGGGAAGCTGCCCTATTCGAAAATAACTAGTACATAGTTACAGTTTCTATTATGCACATATACATATACACAAAGACACACTGTTGCACATTATTTCTATTATTATTTATGCCATTGCTATATCCAAAACAGATGGCAGAAGATAGCCAGTCTTTCCAGATTCAAAAAAGTAGTTCAGACCAGGTTAGTGCTTGGATGGGAGACCACAAGGAAATCTCAAGTCTGTAAGATAGACTGGGAAACTGAGGAAAAAAAGAAACACCAGAAGGCACCAATGTCGAACTGCTTTAATTGAAGAGATTTTTCTTTTTATTTTGCAGGAAAACTACCTGGACATTTCTTGTCATTAAATCATTAAGTGTTAAGCTCAAATCAAGGGAGATGTTTCCATTTTTCTACCTAAAGGGCGCTAATGGTAGCAACACAGATCTGGCACATTTAAGTTTAATGAGAAAAATGTTGAAAGGAGCACTCCCTCCCTCCATCTCATTAAAGAAATCACATGATTCAACAATCATGTAGGTCTTAGCTAATTAACAAATGAATCAGTTGAATTTGCATACAAGTAAATACAGACTTGGCAGGTGAAAGGATTAGTTTTGGATGGTGCATATATGGCAGATGATATGGTTAACATTTTCCAAAAGGAGGCATTTCTTAGAAATGTTCTAGGATTCCTTTTTTTTTTTATCAAGCATCCCTAATTATCTCATTCAAAAGCGCTGTGATAAAGTGATCACACACTTGATCAGAAGTGTTATGTGAGTCCAAGTTACTGGAACCCAAACTTTACAGCAAATTTCCTCCTACCTTGTAGGATTGTTGTGAAGATAAAGTAGGGAGAGGTGGATACCCAACTATTGCAACTTGTGATCACCAAAAGTCTAGATACAAATTTGATAAATAAATACAATGGGTCAGTGAGGCCAATCTCAGATTCTTAGAGGAGAAAATAAAATAAAATATGCAATTGTAATGGTATGTGGGAATAATTTTGAGAGATAAGAGGAAGAGCCGCAGACTAGGCAATGGTCAGATAAGAGGTAGCTGAACCCACAGAAGGAACGGGGTGTGGCAAACCTCTCAGAAGGGACCCTCCCTAGTTTCTTGGACTGTAAAGGTGAGGGGGGAGAGATGTACTTTCAGACGTGCAAGATTCTGTTAATGTCACCTTACAATGAAGAGAGGGCTAGTAGTCCTGAGTGTGCTTCTTGTCTGGACTACCTTGCAAGGCTGACAGTAACACTGTGACCCCACCTTTCCAAAGAAGCACATGTCATTTATTCTCACTGCTGTCTTGCATGGGAAGTTAGACTGAAAGTATGTCTAGACCAGTGTTTCTCACCCTTGGTGACTTGAAGATGTGTGGACTTCAACTCCCAGAATTCCCCAGCCCACCCAGCTGGCTGGGGGATTCTGGGTGGTGAAGTCCCCACATCTTCACGGCACCCAGGGG